GTGAGTGCTCTACCACTTAAGCCACAGCGCCACTTCGTTTTCTGGTGGTTTATTGGAGTTTCACAGCTTTTTTATTTTTTGCCGGTCGTGGGGCTTGAACTCTGGGCCTGGGCGCTGTCCCTTAGCTCTTCAGCTCAAGGATAGTGCTCTACCACTTGAGCCACAGTGCCACTTCCAGCTTTTTCTGCTTATGTGGTGCTGAGGAATCGAACCCAGGGCCTCATGCATGCAAGGCAAGCGCTCTACCACTGAGCCACCTTCCCAGCCCCTCACAGCTTTTTATTGGAGTTTCACAGCTTTTCCTGCCCAGGCTGGCTTTGAACTGCAATCCTCAGATCTCAGCTTCCTGAGTAGCTGGGATTACAGGCATGAGCCACCTGCACCGGCCCCATGAGACTCTTATCTCCAATTAACCACAGAAAACCAGAAGTGGCGTTGTGGCTCAAGTGGTAGAGCACTTAACGAGCTGGAGATGTGAGGGACAGAGCCCAGGCCCACAGTTCAAGGCCCATGACCGACAAAAACAAAACAAACAACTATCTTCATTAATTATCCCCAGTATTTTTTCATAGTGGTAGAAACCTAACACACAGTAATTTATAAGCAATAATTTATTTCTCACAGTTCAAAAGGCTGGTGAATCTGAGATTAAGGGAGCAGGATTTGGTGTCTGGCTGGGGTTGGGGGCAGCACTCACACTAGTTCTGTGTAGACCCTGACCTCTTCCAGCAGGACACCACTCACACTAGCCTTGTGTACACACTGACCTCCTCCTGCAGGCTGGAGTTGGGCAGGCCTGTGAACGGGGTCTTTTTTTGTTATTGGTTGTGGGGGCTGAGCTCTGGGCCTGGGCTCTGTCCCTCAGCTCTTCAGCTCAAGGCTAAAGCTCTTGAGCCACAGCACTCTTTGGCTTTTTTCTGCTTATGTGGTGCTGAGGAATCGAACCTAGGGCCTCATGCATGGGAGGCAAGTGCTCTACCACTGAGCCACCTTCCCAGCCCCAAACTTGGGCCGGGGGGCAGGGGGTCTTAATAATGTCCTTCTGAGCTCCAAGACTGGACATGGAACTCTCCCAGACATGAAAATTAGGCCGGCCTGCCCATGTGTCTACTAGCCAGATGATCTCTTGAATGTGTCTTGAGTTCTAGCCAGTGCAGCTGCCTGGACAGAGGGCCTGTACGGCACCCTGAGGGGGCCAGGCTCAGGCTTGCTAGGATTTGTCTTCCAAGGGGCACAGTGAAGCTGGGGGCACCATTCTGTCAGGCGGTCCTTCTCTGTAGCCTCTCTGGAGACTGAGGGCTCCAGCCTTCATACACTAACCCTCTGGAATACAGGACTGACCAGCAAGAGCTGGTCACCGGGTCCAAAGAGGAGAACTTCCCCATGGTGGGCCCTAGCCAGGGCCGACGGCAGCTGGTCTGCTGCAGTTAGGCCAGTCCACCTCAACGGGGCTGGGAAGGTCACAGCCCCGTCTTCTGGAAGCCCCCTTTTGGTCCAGGGCTGCCGGAGAATGAACCAGGTCACCAGGATGGTGAATGGCACGGCGGGCGTGGCCCCGCTCTGCCGGGCGCCGAGGAGCAGGCTGGCTGCACAGGGGCTCTCAGCCAGGTTCTGAACGATGGCTGTACTCTCCCCTGCTGGCAGCCCCAGCCCCCAAAAGGCCTCCACAATTAAGCTAGCTAAGTTGCTGTGGGCCCAGAAAGGGTGCTGGCTTGCCCAGGGTGTATAACCCCCTGCCAGCCTTCCCTCTCCCTTTTTTGTGGTTGGTTGCGGGGCTTCAACTCAGGATCTGGGTGCTGTCCCTGAGCTCTTTGTTCAAGGCTAGCGCTCTACCACTTTGAGCCACAGCTCCACTTCTGGTTGTCTGGTGGTTAAATGGACCTGAATCCGTGGACTTTCAAGCCCAGGCTGGCTTTGAACTGCAACCATCAGATCTCAGCCTCCTGGTGAGTCAGCCTCCTCTGCTCAGGGGCTGTAGGTGCTTCTTGCTCTTAGGGGTCCCACTGAGGAATCTCAGCAGTGCCAGGCGGGCACTGGGCTGGTGAACCTCTACCTCCCAGTCCTCCCCAGGCCTGGAGACCAGCTCCGACAAGGTCTTGGGCAGAAACATTTAATGGCTGAGGAACACATATACTCTGGCTCTCCAAAGTCTCCAAAAAGGCAACTTTCCATGTTTTAAAAACACTTGATACAAAGACATATATTCATAAATAGGTAACATGAAAATATCCCAAATTGAAATGGCATCCTCGGGCCGGCAAAGCCACCGACTCTCCAGGGCTGGAGAGCCCTGTTGGGGAAGCGCAAGAGAATTCAATGTGAATCAGGATCTTCTTCCCACAGCCCCCACACCGGGGCCTGTGTCCCTGGAGAGTCCAGAAACCTCCAACCCAGCAAAGAGCCAGCCTCCACCTGCTGCTGTGTTATTATAAACAAGGCAAGATTACCACACTCTCACCCCAGAGGCCCTGGGCTGCAGTGAGCCTGCCAAGCCTGCCACTGGGAAGGGCCAGTCTGCTCTCTCGGTTCGTTTTCTCACTGAAGCCCAAGTCCCCTTTGACAGAGGCCCCTCCACAGGAAACTGGCTTCAGCCAGACTCCAGGGACCTTGTAGGCCTGAGGGTGGTGAGGAGTCTGCTCTCAGAAATCTGCCCTGCCAGGGCTGGGAAGATGACTCTGTGGTAGAGCGCTTCCCTTGCATGCATAAGGCCCTGGGTTCGATTCTTCAGCACCACAAAAGCAGAAAGAATAAAGCCGGAACTGGTGCTGTGGCTCAAGTGGTAAAGTACTAGCCTAGAGCTGAGGGACAGCGCCCAGGCCCAGAGTTCAGGCCCCACGACTGGACCCTCCTCCCCCCTCCAAAAAAATCTGTCCTGCTGATCACTCCTTGGATTCTGGCTCAGGCTTGGTAAGCAGGAGGGGCAGGTGAGGCGCCAGGGGTCTGGACTGGGGAGGCCCAGGTGCCAGAAGGCAGGACACACCATCTCTTGTGCTCTGAATTCGGTATGAGCCTCTAGACTGGCCACATGACAACCAATCTTGGGCCAATGGCAACAAGGTGTTTGTGGCTAGACAGGAAAGGGTAGGCTGAGGGAGGCAGGCAGAACAGCCATCAGAGCAGCCTGGAGTGGGGCTGCTCCCCTCTGGACCACGAGAGCAGGGGCTCACTTAACCCACATTCTAACACCTTGGCTTTGAGGAAAAAGGAGAAAGATGGGCCTTGCTACACGAGCTAAGAAACCACTAATGCTGGGCGGTGGTGCTCAAGCCTGCAATCCCAGCTACTCAAGAGACTGAGATCTGAGAACCAGTTTGAAGCCAGCCTGGGCAGGAAAGTCCATCAGATTCCTAGCTCCAAAGAGCCACCAAAAAAGCCAGATGTGGAGCTGCGGCTAAAGTTGTAGAACGCCAGCCTTGCGAAAGCTCAGTGATAGCACCCAGATCCTGATTAAAAGCCTCCAAACAGGCCTCCAGCCCTAGAAGGGGTAGGGGCGGTGCCCAGGGTGACTGCCCAGGATGACAGGTTACCCTCAGCCCTAGAGGAGGAAAGGCGGTATCCAAGGTGACAGGTGACCTCCAGCCCTGCGGGGGGGGGGGGGGGGGGGGAATGACAGGTGACCTCCAGCCCTGTGGGGGAAGGGTGGTACCCAGGGTGACTGGTGACCTCCAGCCCTGTGGGGGAAGGGCGGTACCCAGGGTGACAGGTGAACCCCCAAGGCAGAAGCCACAGTACCTGTGAACTGAACTGCAGTGGGCAGCACGCAGCAATGAATATGATGCTACCTGTAGCCCGATGCTGGACTCACGCCAGGTGCAGGTCCAGACCCCGGCGCCCTCACACCAGCAAGGCTGGTGTTAATGCCTGGCCCCTGGGTTGGAAGCCCAGCTGACTGTGTTATCCAGAGGCACTAGCCACTGCCACGGTGGTGGGGCTGGGGGAGGCACTGTCTGTGGGGCACAGCGTTGCAGGTGAGCGGGGACCCTGAGTGGCCTGACAGGCACTAGGCCCTGGCTGTGGCCAGATTGCCACGCCGGGGCTTTGGGAGGCTCCCTATTAGTAGATTGAGAATGAAAGCAGGAAGTGGGGGCCTGGGCCCCACCTGGCTTCACTGGGCCACATGAGCCCGCAGCCTGTGCCTGCACACAGGTGCAACCCTACTTCGACCACTCCTTGGGCTGGGCCAGCCTGCCTTCTCTCCAGAACCAGGCCTGGCCTTCTCAGCAAAGGGAGCGGTTTCAGACCAGTGTGGGGAGGGGCCGAGCCCGGCCCTCCTGGCCAGGTTCGGGGTGGGAGCTCACTTGAGTCTGTGCAGTTCATCTCTGGAGGCCCTCACTGAGTAGCGTGGAATGGCAGATCGGCTGACACAGAGGCCCTGGGAAGAGGCTTGGGAAGAGCAGCTCCTCAGCCCCAGGACCCTTCCCCGTGACCTGAGCCTCCACTCTTTCCCGAGACTCTGCCTTCTGCTCTCTGACCTCAGCACCCAGCACAGGCTGAAGACCACTGGCCACACACTCAGCCCAGTGTGAAGCTGACCGTGCCAGAGAGATTCTGTACATGAGTAAGGAGGAGCCTCAGACACAATACAGGTCTTCTTTCTTCTTGCTTCTGTTTTCTTGTTTTGTTCTGGTACTGGGGATTGAACCAAGTCCTGTGAATGCTAAGCATCAGCCACACCCCCCCCCCCCCCATCTTCTTTTTTTTTTGGTCGGTCATGGGGCCTGAACTCTGGGCCTGGGCACTGTCCCTCAGCTCTTCAGCTCAAGGCGAGCACTCTACCACTTGAGCTGCAGCACCACTTCTGGTTTTCTGGTGGTTTATTGGAGATAAGAATCTCACGGTCTTTCCTGCCCAGGCTGGCTTTGAACTGTGATGCTCAGATCTCAGCCTCCTGAGTAGCTAGGATTACAGGCCTGAGCCACCAGTGCCAGGCTCCCCCAATCTTCTTTTACCTCAAGTTTTCACTTCCCACCTTAATCCCGACCCTTCGGAGAAACTGCTGGAAGACTAGCTGGTTTTTCAACCTGACTGGTACAATTTTGGCCCCAAGCCAGCAGACAGTCCCTAGCTGGCTATGGCCATGACCCCACACTTGTGCAGATGAAAATGAGAAGCTACATGGAAAACCACAAGAACCCAAGAGGTCTTGATAAGGCAATGAGCCAGGCCCCAGCAAGTGTCTCTAGAGAGCTCAAGCTGGCAGTGAAGGCAGATAGCCACTCCTGCTGGGATATGCCCAGGCATCCCTGGGCAGGGCTCAGGCACCACGCTCCTGTTCTGGTCGCCCTTGCTCCTGGTGCTTCAGGTGGAGGGTCTGTAGGAACTGAGGACTGGCTACATCCCTGGAGAGTAGCCACAGCAGCCAAGGTTGCAATGGTCAAAACCAGCAAGTGAAGGATGGCGGCCAGGTCTCCTGCCTCCGAGGTCCCATTAAAGGGCTCACAACAGTCCTGGAATGTGAACAATGAGAGGCCCCAAGCTGGCTTGCAGGATGGGTCACCGCTCCCCTCTGCCAACAGGCCCCTGCAAGGGGGCCCTGTGGCCCCCTGTGGCCCCTTCCCACCACCTATCCACACCAGGGTGCAGAATGCCAGGGCTGACACAGCAGCAGTTGAATGGCTGGGGTCCTACAAGAGCAGACTCCACAGGCCAGAGAGAAAGGTGGCTCAGCCCCTGGCCTGCTGGCCCTGTGCCCTGGTCAGCACCCACAGCCCCAGCTTTCCCCGATGTCCTTGCTATCCAGCTGGATGTGGTCAGTACTCTTCTCACTGAACATGGGGCCCCCATGCCTCATGATGAGCTCGGTGGCCACCCTCATGAAGGCCTCGTCCACGTTGCTGGAGTCCTTGGCAGAGGTCTCAATGGCACACAAAATGTCGTAGTGTTCTGCTAGGCTCTGAGCCTCAGCCAGGGGGACTTCCCGGAGCTCAGCGAGGTCCAACTTGTTTCCTGTAAGAAAAGCTGGGTGTAGGTGTGGCCTGGGGAGCCCACTGAGTTCCACCCTGCGATCCACCCTGCGATCCACCCTAAGAGCCGCCCTGAGATCCACCCTTTGCAGTGAGCAGCACAATGCAGAGCCATCCTGAGGAGCACACAGCCCTCTGCTCAGTGGTGCTAAGTGCAGCCTGTGAGGACTGCAGAGCCCTTCGAGAGCTCACCAATACCCTGTCCTTGGCCTGCTAGAACTAAACACTTCTGAATATGCAACCCATCTTTCTTAGTCTTTCTTATTTTAACAACAGTGGGTTCTCATCTGGCTGCCCAGACCAGCTTCTAGCTCTTGGGTGCCGGAGCCCCTACCGCAGCATAGTTGGGACTATGAGTGTGCCACTGTACCCAGATGCCTTTCTATTCTAAAGCTCTTACTCTACCCTTTACTCTCTCACTTTGCTTTTTAAAACTGCTTCTTTTAAAGCTTTCTTTGCAGGGCTAGGGATGGAGCCTAGTCTTCTGCACACCCTGTGCCTCGCCCTGCCTCCTCTGAGAGGAAGCCTGCTGTTTGATGAGAAGCACATGGAACTGTGGAACTGCAGCTCCAGCCTCTGTCCTCGCTGCAGGAGCTCCAGTGAGCCAGTTTCCCAGGTCAAGTATGCCATGCTCAGGACAGGAGAGCAGGGCAGTGTGGAAACGCTGGCACTTAAGAACCCCACAAATATGGAAATGACAGAAATCTGGTATTGCTATTTTTTTGTTTTGCTATAAGTTCATAACTATTATGTGTCCTTTTTTTTTTTTTTTTTTTGGGGGGGGGGGGGGGGTTGGTCGTGGGGCTTAAACTCTGGGCCTAGGCACTGTCCTTGAGCTCTTCAGCTCAAGGCAAGTGCTCAACCACTTTAGCCACAGCACCACTTCCAGTTTTCTGGTATTTTATTGGAGATTAGTCTCACAGACTTTCTCAGATCTCAGCCTCTTGAGTAGCTAGGATTACAGGTGTGAATCACCAGCACTTGGCTCATGGACTTTCTTGCCTAGGCTGGCTTTGAACTGTGATCCTCAGAACTCAGCTTCCTGAGTAGCTGGGGTTACAGGCATGAGCCACTGTTGCCTGGCTTTGGGTTTTTTTATTTTTGAAATGGGGTCTTGCTACGCTGCCCAGGCTAGCCTCAAACTCCTGGGGTGTAGTGATCTCCCTGCTTCGGCCTCCCTAGTAGATGTGGACACCCTCATTGTAGGCATGAGACACTGGCATCTAGCTTCTGAGTTGCTTTCTAAGAAAATGTTATTATTAGGGCTGGGAAGATGGCTCAGTGGTAGAGCGCTTGCCTTGCATGCCTGAGGCCCTGGGTTCGATTCCTCAGCACCACATAAGCAAAAAAAGAAAAAAGCCGGAAGTGGCGTTGTAGCTCAAGTGGTAGAGCACTAGCCTTGAGCTGAAGAGCTGAGGGACAGCGCCCAGGCCCAGAGTTCAGGCCCCACGACCGGACCCAAAAAAAAAAAAAAAGAAAATGTTATTATTTGTAGATGTGAAAATACTATTTTTTTTTGGGGGGGGGGTCTGGTTGTGGGGTCTGAACTCTGGGCTTGGGCGCTGTCCCTCAGCTCTTCAGCTCAAGGCTAGCGCTCTACCACTTGAGCCACAGTGCCACTTCTGGCTTTTTTTTTTTTTTTTTTTCTGTGTATGTGGTGCTGAGGAATCGAACCCAGGGCCTCATGCATGCGAGGCAAGCATTCTACCACTGAGTCAACTTCCCAGCCCCTGAAAATACTATTGTGTGTGTGTGTGTGTGTGTGTGTGTGTGTGTATGTATATATGTGTATACACACACACACACACATAATTTTTATTTTTGGCCTGTCTTGGGGCTTGAACTTAGGGCCTTGGGCACTGTCTGAGTTTCTTTTTGACCAAAGCTAGCACTCTACCACTTGAGCCACAGTGCTACTTAAGGCTTTTTTCTGTGTATGTGGTACTGAGGAATCGAACCCAGAACTTCATGCATGCTAGGCAAGCACTCTACCACTAAGCAACATTCCCAGCCCTGCTTATGTAATTTTAAATATCTGTGTTTTATAGACTTATGCTGTAATTGTTACAGAGGAAACAGTTTGGTGTCTGAGATTAGTCCCAAAGAAATACAATGGAAAGGAGTGACCAAAATGAACTCAACTGCCAGTTACCAGAAACAGGAGAGCAGGCATTGGGGACCTATAATACTATTCTACATTTTTTTTTCCAAATTTTTTGTGATTAAGTCGTTACATAATTTCCCAAGTGTCACAATATTGTGGCATAATGATGCTAGTTAAAGTCATAAACACATTCTAACTTTCATGGAGCAAATTGTCTACCATGGTCTATAACATTTATGAGTTCTATGAGCTTTGCGATACAGCTATTTCTTCCACATTGGGTGATATGTACATTTCTTTTGTTTTGCATAGCATCAGCTGTTCTACTATTCTATTTTTTGCACTACGTAAAATGCACTATAATAGAATGTTTTCTAGAAATGTCCTATATAAAAGAAATGTGGTTGGCTCAAGTGGTAGAGTGCTAGCCTTGAGCAAAAATGTTCAGAGATAGCACCTAGGCCCTGAGTTTAAACCCCAGAACAGGCAGGCATGTGTGCATGCACACACGTACACACACACACACACACACACACACACACACACACACACACACACACACACACACACACACACACACACACACACAGGAGCAGCTGAGCCAGACAAGGCCGCTCTGCTCCTGCCAGGGATCTGGGTCTGGAATGTACTTCCATGCCCTATGGAAGGCTAGCCAGGAATACTGGCAGCAAAAGTAGGAAAACCGTCTTCCAGGCCAGCCTAGGCAAAAAGCAAGGATCTATCTGAAACAAAGCTAAAGCTAAAGGGAGAGAGCTGTGGCTAAAATGGTAGGGTGCCTATCTAGCAAGCATGGGACCCTGAGTTCAAACCCTGGAGCCACCAAAAAAACAAAAATCAAAAATGCACATCCAGGGGCTGGGAAGGTGGCTCAGTGGTAGAGCACTTGCCTTGCATGCTCGAGGCCCTGGGTTCGATTCCTCAGCCCCACATAAGCAAAAAGAAAAAAGCCAGAAGTGGCTCTGTGGCTCAAGTGGTAGAGTGCTAGCCTTGAGCTGAAGAGCTGAGGGACAGCGCCCAGGCCCAGAGTTCAGGCCCCAGGACCGGACCAAAAAAAAAAAAAAATGCACATCCATGGGCCCTAACCTCCTGACTGAAGTAAACCCACCATCTGCACTTTAACAAGCCTTCTAAGTGATTCTGAAACCTGCAAGTGGCGGAGTATTCACAGGGAAGCTGGACAGAGAAACCCATTGAGTTGTGCTCAGCAAACCTCAACTCAAACTCTACATCTTTGTGCTAACAGGCTGTGTAGAACTGGATAAATTGTTCCACTTTTTTTTTTTTTTTTTTTTGGGGTGGGGGTCAGTCGTAGGGCTTGAACTCTGGGCCTGGGTGCTGTTCCTGAGCTCTTCAGCTCAATATGAACATTCTATCACTTGAGCCACAGCACTACTTCCAGTTTTCTGGTGGTTAAGTGGAGATAGGAGTCTCACGACTTTCCTGCCTGAGCTGGCTTTGAACTGTGAGCCTTAGATCTCAGCCTCCTGAGTTGCTGGGATTACAGGCGTGAGCCACGGGTGCCGGCTCCACTTCTCTGAATCTCATCTCATCTCATCAGTGAGGAGGAGCCATGGTTAGGAGAGCTAAATCTCATGTCAACCCTGAGCACTAACACAGTGACCACTGCAAGGGTTGGGTCTGCAGAACCCAGGCTGCAGTCTAATTGCCACCATGAAGCGTAAGAAGGTGGAAACTCAACAGTGCTGTTTAGCGGGGGAGGTGATGAAGGTGGGAGGTCTTCAGGACAGAATCCCCACGACACAAGACAAGCACACAAATGTACTTTGTTTCCTGCCATGGGACTGGTGCTACCTAGAATCTGCGGGCAAAAAAGCAATTACTAGATATAATCCTTGGTCTTGGACTTCCGGGACAGTAATCCAAAATAAACCTATTTATAACTAACACAGTATGTGGTATTGGTTTAGGAACAACAGAAAGTAAACTAAATAAGACACATGGGCTGCAAAGCAAATTTCAGCTCCCCTTCTGTCCTGTAGGCTCATTTTTAAATCTAACTGTAAAGTGATTAGCGGGATTAGGCTCTACAAAATCAAGTTGAACTTGAAGCTCACTCCTGTGTGGCTAGACTCAGCACTTCCGGACTTGAAAAGGAGAGAGGCAGAGGCACAGAGGTGAGCTTTATTGTCCCAAGGCCTCTGTGGGCTGCCTGGGTTACCAGCTCACCAATCAGCAGCTGCACGATGTTAGAGCCTGCGTACTTCCGCACATCCTCAATCCAGTGAGGCACAGACAGGAAGGAACTCCTCTTGGTGATGTCATAGGCAAGGATGGCCCCGTTGGCACTTCGGTAGTAGCTCTGGGTGATGGTTCGGAATCGTTCCTGGCCAGCTGTGTCCCAGATCTGCAGCTGGAGAAAGAGGGAATCTTGGGTGAACTTGGTGTTACGTGTGGATCACAGGAACTACAGACCAATTCGGATAGCAGCTATTTCACCGGCCTTCAGAGGCAATAGCCCACAGGATCAAACTTCCTGAGTGCTTACAAGGCAGTTCAGAGGCTGGGTGCCAGTGGTTCGGGCCTATAATCCTAGCTACTCAGAAAGCTGGTATCTGAGGACTCTGGCTCAAAACCAGCCAGAAAGACAAATCTGAAAGTGTCTCATTTTCAGGAAGCAGCAAAATGCTGAAAATGAGTTGTGGCTCAATTAGTACATTAGCGATCACTGAAGAAGCCAAGCTAGAGTGTGAGGCCCTGAGTTCAAGACCCAGGACCAGCACAAAAAAGAAAAAGGAAATACAGATCATGGCTTTAAGTAGGCCTAGGAACATATGTCTGTGAGAGTCTATCTCCAGAATAACCAGTAAAAAGCAGAGCTGGAGGCGTGGCTAAAGTGGAAGAGTGTCAGCTAAGCAAGTAAGCAAGCCAAGTTAGCAAGCAAGTGCAAGGCCCTGAGTTCAAATACAAATGAATGAACAAATGAAGAAAGGAAGAAAAGAAAGAAAGAGAAAGAAAGGAAGGAAGGAAAAGAGAGAGAAAGGAAGGAAAGAAAGAGAGAGAAAGAAAGAGAGAGGGAGGGAGGAAGGGAGGGAGGGAAAAGAAAAAAGAAAAGAAAGGGAGGGAGAAGAGAAAGGGAAAGGGAAAGGGAAAGGGAAAGGGAAAGGAAAGGGGAAGGGAGAGAGAGAGGGAGAGAGAGAGAGGGAGGGAGAGAGAAGGAGGAGAGGGGGGGTACACTAGTGGATCACGTCTATAATCCTAGCTACTCAAGAGATCTAAGGATCACAGTTTGAAGCCAATCCAGGCAGTAAAGTTCATAAGACTCATCTCCAATTAACCACCAAAAAAAAGCAGAAGTGGAGTTGTGGCTCAAGTGGTAAGAGTGCTAGCTTTGAGCAAAAAAAAGCTAAGGGACAGTGCCTAGGCCCTGAATTCAAACTCCACTACTAGTACAAAAAAAAAAAAAAAGACAAACAGTAAACTAAATAATACTCATAATTACAATAAATATAAATTCACTAACTGTCCAATTAAAAGCCATAAAAAGCAAGTAAAAGGCAAAACCTAAGCCAGGTGCCAGTGGCTCACAATTATAATCCTAACTACTCATGAAGCTGAGATCTGAAGATCATAGTTCAAAGCCAGACTGAGAAAGAAGGTTCAGGAGAGTCTTAGCTCCAATTAACCACCAAAAAGCCAAGTAGAGCTGTGGCTCAAGTGAGAGCACTAGCCTTGAATAAAAAAGCTCAGGAAAAGCATCCAGGACCTGACACAAGAATTAATTAATAGTGAATATGTAGACATTTAACAAAAAACAAAATTACTTTTACTAACAGAAAACATTAAGAGTTCAGATGAGCCAGGCATCAGTGGCTCACGGCTGTAATCCTAGCTACTCAGGAGGCTGAGATCTGAGGATTATAGTTCAAAGCCAGCCAGAGCAGGAAACTCTGTGAGACTCTTATCTCCAATAAACCACTAAGAAAACCCGAAGTAGCTCTGTGGCTCAAGTGGTAGAGCACTCGCCTTGAGCTGAAGAGCTGAGGGACAGCGCCTAAATCCAGAGATCAACCTCGACGACCGACAAAACAAAAAAAAGGAGGTAAGATGGAAAGTAAAAAATAACAGCATATTATTACAAAATTAAAAACTTGTATATTCACAAGACCAAAGGGGGATATTCTTAGGAGAGAATCACAAAGGTGCAATGGCCTATGTACATCTGATCACTTATCAAAATGAACTCCAGGGAATGGAAATGAGGTGTTTTCCTTTGTTGCTGTTTTTGTTTTCATTTTGTCTTGTTTGTTCATTTATCTGTCCTTGGGAGGGTAAAGGGAGGCACAGAAATGGAAAGATAAAGGTTAAACAAATGCAGCTTTGGTACTCACTAAACACTATGTTAAAAATGAACACCATACAACTGGAGGGTGGGGATGGGAAACGGGGAGAGCAAGGGAAGGGGCAACAGTGTCCAAAAAGAAATGTGCTCTTCACCTGACATGTGACTGTAACCCCTCTGTACATTATGATCTTTATAATAACAATAAAAACAAACAGGTCAGGCTGGGAAGGTGGCTCAGTGGTAGAGCGCTTGCCTTGCATGCACGAGGCCCTGGATTCGATTCCTCAGCACCACATAAGCAGAAAAAGCAGGAAGTGGTGCTGTGGCTCAAGTGGTAGAGCGCTAGCCTTGAGCTGAAGAGCTGAGGGACAGCGCCCAGGCCCAGAGTTCAGTCCCCATGACCGACAAAAAAAACCCAAAAAACAGGTCTTCTGCTACAACCAATTAAAAAAAGAAAGGTATTTGTTGCCTAACTTATGAAACAATAACTCCTTTGTACATCACCTTTATAATAACAATTTAAAAAAACTTGTATATTGTGCTAGGGATCTAACTCAGTGGTACAACACTTACCCAGAATGTGCCAGGACCCGAGTTTGGTTGGTAAAACCACACGCGCATGCACACGCACATGCGTACACACACACATATACACATACACACACAGCTTGTGTGCATCAAATTATACCATCAAACTCAGGTTTAGTTATGAACAGCATTTACTAATGCTATTACTGATTACTGATGCAACCATTTGACATTACTAAGCGTTTACTAGAAATACTACAGCTAACAGACAAAAAATCCTGCCCAAGCTTACAGCCTAGTACATAAGATAAACAAGATATGTAAGATAAACAATATATAATAAGCTAGGGATAAATATAAGCATTTACATTTATTAAGTATATGTATATATAAACTATGACTAAATAATAAAATAAAAGCATGCTAGGTAACTGTAAGGAGGAAAAAAATAAGTAGGGAAAGAATATAGTATGAGGAAGAGTGGAATGTCAGACAGGATGATGTAATGGCTTCATAGACCTAACTGTTGAGGGGAAGATCTGAAGTAGTTAGTCATGTGGACACTACAAGAATATTTTTTTTTTTTTTTTTTGGTCGTGGGGCTTGAACTCTGGGCCTGGGCGCTATCCCTCAGGTCTTCAGCTCAAGGCAAGCGCTCTACCACTTGAGCCACAGTACCACTTCAGGTTTTCTGGTGGTTTATTGGAGATAAGAGTCTCACAGACTTTCCTGCTCCGGCTGGCTTTGAACCATGATCCTCAGATCTCAGACTCCTGAGTAGCTAGGATTACAGGAGTGAGACACTGAGCCTGACATGAGAAATGTACTCTTTACCTGACTTATATAACTGTAACCCCTCTGTACAACACCTTTATAACAATAAAAAGGAATATATATATAAATTTAAAAAATTGTACAGGAAACTGAAAACTAAAGGGGTTAGGCATGGCTCTGGTGAGCCCCACAGCTCATTAACCTAGCCAAAGTCAAGGCCACCTGCTCACAGAAGAAACCAACCGTGGGATGTCTGGCTACCCTCGTTTTTTTCCCCTCCCCTCATACCCACACAACAGCAAGAGCCCTGGCCAGCCAATGCAGCAGCTGCATTTTAATGATCACCCCAGGAAGTGGGGTGCAGCAGACTCCCAGGCCTGAGTTCCATCCTCAGCAACAAACTCACTCACTAGAAATAACAGTTTGGCCGCTGGCTGAATAGTCCTACAGTGGACTGCAAAGAAGGTGAGGGTAAAAGGAGCCTCAGTCTCTTGGCCCAAGTGCTTTCCATCATCCAGAAGAGGAAGGAGAAGCCAAGCCAAGAGAACCCTGCTTCCCAAGGAATAAGCATTCCCTCCCCAGGCAAGCTCACCATCTGGTAGTACCCAAGGGAAATAGGGGGGAAGAGAGGGTCTGCCACAGTGGCTGTTAGGAGATGCAGGCACCACCATACACACCAGGCAGAGACCTCCTGCACTATCACGGGACAGTTCTGTGCCAGGCCCAGGGGCTCAGAAGCCCAGCAAACCCCGTCCCAGGGATCTGTGGGAGTCCTGGCTCTGCCGCCCTCGCCACAGCCCACAGAGGCTCTGACGGGTGCCCAGCACAGCCGAGGCACCTCAACTCCAAACAGTGGCTTCCTCAGCAAAGTCTGAGCACATGTGATCTTCTGCCCAGTCCCCTCGCCTCTCTTCTCTGAGGTACCATGGGGTGTTGTAGCAAGGTTCCCCTGCTGGATGTTGTCGTAGGCCCGATCATGACCATTTCCTTTATTTCAACGAACACTTTCACCTACACTGAAAACTCTTTCATGAGCATCCTCTTTTTTGCAGTACTGGAGATTTGAATCTAGGGCCTTGAGCATACTAGATAAGCATTCTACCACTTGACTAAACCCCTAACTCTAGCTACACCTGTAACCCTAACTACTCAAGAGACAAATATCTGAAGGGCTGTAGGTCAAAGTGAGTCTGGACAGAAAAGTCCATGAGACCCCATTTCCAAAATAACCAGCAAGCCAGGCTGGAGGTATGGTTCAAGTGAAAGAGCACCAGCCAGGAAAGTAAGCCAAGCAAGCTAGAGGTCTTTGAGTTCAAACCTTGGTACATGGGGAAAAAAACAAACACTAGTCCCATCCTATCCCTTAACCCCGACTTCTCTTTCCCTGTTTCTTTTTTTGTTTTCTTGGATACTAGGGACCAAATCCAGGACTTTGCACATTCTCACAAGCATTCTATAACTACACTACACCCCCATCCTAGACCCAACTGAATTATCTGGTGTACTTCACTGCATTGCCTCAAGACTTAAGAAAGCCTTTACTAGAGCTGTGAACCAAAAGAAATGTTTTCTGTATACATTTTTTAAAAAAGAAATAAAGATAAGGCTATACTTCCTAAAGCAAATTCATTCTTGTGTGGGATGAAGATGGGACTGTAGAGCAGGAATTGGCTGAGGACACTCAGTATGTGACTCCAAACTTATCATTAAGAATGGGCTTTGAAGAAAGGCCCCTTCGGATCCACTCTTGAGACTGACCGGCACTG